GGAAGGCGTGCAGGAGGAAGATGCCGCACACGACGGTGAGGAAGCCGCTGATGGTGCCCACCACGTTGTCCAGCACCATGTGCTGCCACTCCTTGAAGAGGATGGCAGAACACGTCATGACCGCGGTGGTGAACAGCACGTAGTAAACGGGAGTCACCACCGACGTGTTGAAGATGTCCAAGGCTTTGTTCAGGTAGTTGATCTGGACGCTGATGCAGACGACGAGGCAGAGCAGGAGCACCCAGCCCAGCGGCTCTTTCAGGACTGGCTTCCCAGCAAACAGTTCTTTCAGGGCAATCCCCAAGCCTTTGACGCAGGACACGGAGAGCGAGCCGATGGCAGAGCACACCAAAACGTAAACCAGGACGTTACTCCGTCCGTAACGGGGGCCGGCCACAAAGATGAGGAGGAGGGAGCTCACCAGCACGCACACGGCAAACACGATGAACCCTGGCAGAAAGGGGAATCAAGAGCTGTATCAGAGCAGTGAACAGCAACTGATGTGACTGAGCAGCGAGCAGGGACAGGCAGAAGTGGCCATTGTCCCATCCGTCTGTCTCTTAATTCTCCATCCTTAGGGCCTGGGCTCTGGAGATGGTCTCCAGGCTGCCCAAAGCTGCAGAGATGGTGGCGCTTTACGGAGCCGAGCGCAGCTCCGCGCCACGAGTCAGTCTGTGCGGGACACGCGTGGAAGCAGCAGCTGGGCCAGGGGCTTCGTAAGGACCAGCAGAACTGGCAGGTTGAGGTAGGAATAAGGGGGAAGGGGGACCTCACAGGAGGGAGACCCTGCCAGAGCACTCTGAGGGAACAGCAGCACTTACCCATCACTCTGCTTTTCTCTTCTCCCTGTTCTTTCCTAATCTCCTGTTGGTTACTCTGCTGTTAATGCTGTTGCCCAATTCATATCCTTGCCCTCTGATTCATCCTCTGATAAAAATATCAGGGCTGACCTGATCTTGGGCTTAACTCCCTGCACCTCATTCATCTTCACCCTCTCTGACCTGACGTTCCTCCTGTGACCTCCCTCAGCCACCTGCACGTCCTGACAAGTCCCTTTCCTACCCCAGCACTGCCTCAGGCCAGTCCTGCCTGTTGATGGGTAGCTGGGATGTTCTTGATGCCTGTTCCTCGGGGATGCACAGTACAAAAAACATGTCCAATAACTGTGAATGCTACATTTGACCATCAGCAATCCGTCACACTGTGAGATCCCACAGAGGCCTCCCTGCAACCCTGGAGAAGGGGACGTGTCCCCTCCACCGTGGTGCAGATTCCTACCTGCCACTGTCATCTCCAAGTGTGACGCTTGGACCCAACTTCATTTAAGTACCTGGATCTTTCAGCTTCTCTGCCATGGACTCCAGGCTGGAAACCTCCTCCTCCTGCGGGGCGTGGATAACCATCACCGTGGAGCCCAGAATACTCAGCACGCAGCCCATCTTCCCGTGGACGTTCAGCTGCTCGCTCAGGAAGATGGAAGACAACACTGCACTGCAAGGCATAAAGCAAAAAGACCTAAAATCCAATTAGGGAAGGGAGAGGGAAGGGGTTGGGGAGAGCAGAGCAGCTCCTTCACCTCGCAGGGGAGCAGACGGGGCTCGGACGTTTCTTACCTCACCAGAACGCTCAGCGCGCCCAGCGGCGTCACCAGCGTCGCAGGAGCAAACACGTAGGCAGCAAAATTCGCTGCTTCCCCGACTCCCACTGCAAGAGACGCTCTGTCAGGACCCGGAGAGCGTCAGGGCAGGAGCCACCGGCCCCGGCGAGCCCGAGGGTGGTCAGAAAAGCAGCCTGGTCTCCATCCGAGCGCACTCCGTTTCTCTGGGGTGTTTTGTGCACCCGCAAAAGGGCTGTGCTAATGAGAACAAACAAAACTCCGGTGTCGCTTCTCTTGGAAAGAGAAGGCTCTTGGCTCCACATCTACCCCGCTGAGCAGCGGCAACAGGAAAAAATTCTGTGTTGTCCTCAAAGCTGAGGGAAGTTTTGGCCTGATATGTATTTCTAAATCGTGCCCTCCTCTTATACAGCTCCCACAAGGGGTAAAAGCAGATACAAACGGTCGTTAACAGCCTGTTTGAGGAATGTCAGTAAGGGCTGTAACAAGGTGGGTGTCACCTGAGCGCTGCGGCCAGGGCAGCCCATTCAGGCCCTCCTCGAGCCTCTTGGCAACACAGGAGCCTTTAAGAGTATCTTGGAATTAAGACCAGGCTGGCAGCCCTCCGAGGGCTCCCGGGGCGCAAACCCGAGTGGCCAAAGTCGCCGACGGCCCCGACAGCCCGCGACAACGGCTCCCCC